TTCCCCTTTCCTGTCCCTTCCCCTCCTTCCTTCTTTTTTCTGCTCTCTCTCTCTGCTTCTCTCTCCCACTCTCTCTTCTCTTCTCTCTCTTTCCCCTCCCTCTTCTCCTGTCTTCTCTTGGTTCTCTTTCTCCTTCTCTCTCCCTCCCTTTCCCATTCTCTCTCTCTTCTCTCTCACTTCCCCTCCTTCCTTCTTTCTTCTCTTTCTCTCATCCTCTCTCTTCTCTTTGCTCTCTCTCTCCTTCTCCCTCCCTTCCCCTCCTTCCTTCTTTCTTCTCCTCTTTCTCTCTCTCGCCCTCTCTCTTCTCTTTGCTCTCTCTCTCTCTCTCCTCTCTCCCTCCCTTTTCCACTCTCTCTCTCTTCTCTTCTCTCTCCCTTCCCCTCCTTCCTTCTTTTTTCTGCTCTCTCTCTCTGCTTCTCTCTCCCACTCTCTCTTCTCTTCTCTCTCTTTCCCCTCCCTCTTCTCCTGTCTTCTCTTGGTTCTCTTTCTCCTTCTCTCTCCCTCCCTTTCCCATTCTCTCTCTCTTCTCTCTCACTTCCCCTCCTTCCTTCTTTCTTCTCTCTTTCTCTCGTCCTCTCTCTTCTCTTTGCTCTCTCTCTCCTTTCTCCCTCCCTTTCCCATTCTCTCTCTTCTCCTCTCTCACTTCCCCTCCTTCCTTCTTTCTTCTCTCTCCTCTCCTCTTTGCTCTCTCTCTCCTTCTCCCTCCCTCCTTTTCCCATTCTCTCTCTCTTCTCTTCTCTCTTTCCCCTCCCTCTTCTCCTGTCTTCTCTTTGCTTTCTCTCTTCTTCTCTCTCCCTCCCTTTCCCATTCTCTCTCTCTTCTCTTCTCCTTCCCTTCCCCTCCTTCCTTCTTTCTTCTCTCTTTCTCTCTTGTCCTCTCTCCCTCCCTTTCCCATTCTCTCTCTCTCTTCTCTTTTCTCTCCCTTCCCCTCCTTCCTTCTTTCTTCTCCTCTCTCTCTCTCTTGTCCTCTCTCTTCCCTTAGCTCTCTCTCTCCTCTCCCTCCCTTTCCCATTCTCTCTCTCTTCCCCTCCCTTGCTCCTTCTTTCTTTCTCTTCTCCTCTCTCCTCTCTCTTTCCTCTCTTCCTTGTCCTCTCTCTTCTCTTTGCTCTCTTTCTTCTCTTCTTCTCTCCTCTCCTCTCTTTCTTTTTACCTCTCTCTCACTCTCTTCTGCCACCCTCCCTCCATCTCTGTCTCTTCCCCCTTTCCCCCCCTCCTCCTCCCCTCTTGACTTTGGTTTTACTGCCAGCCATAAAACTAAAGATTTATTTACCAGCTGAGAGCAAACAATTTCAGGGCTGAGTGAAAGGCCGCAATTATGTCACTTAATGAGAGATGGGGCAGTCAGTTTCCCTCTCTGTCTCTCTCTCTCTTGAGTCGAGTTTGCCCGCCAATGGAATATTATTGGAAGGAGCTTTCTTATCTCAAGACACAATGCCACATTCATCTCTCCCGTTCTGCCACTTGCGCGCCAACTGACGTCTTCTTTTCCTCCTCCTCCTCCGCCTCCTCCTTCCTTCGACCATTCTCTCGTCTCTCCGTTTGGATTTCGGCCATGGGGCGTTCATCCCTTGCCCACTGTGCTGGATTTTTATTTATGCATTCAGCAGCAGGCGGAGGAAAAAAAACCTGCTCTGGAAGCCGTCCACTTCACGTTTCATCACTCTCCAAAGAGATGGTCCCTGCTGGAACGAAACAAAGCTTTTTATCCTATCTGCCCTGGTGGCTTCTCCTCCCCTCACCCCAAAATAAAAATTGCGAGAGAGGTCAGATGCTCCCCTCCCCTCCTAATTGCTGCTGATCGTCTGTTTCCATTTATTTTGTTTAGGATCCCACCAACGTGGACAAATTTAACGTCTCCAGCTTTTTCCATGTGAAGAACAATTTGAAAGTCACCGACCCGGGTAAGGAGAAGGTAGTCCTCAACTTACGACCACAATTGGGCCCCAAACTTTTGTTAAGAGAGCTTTGTTCCATTTTGCCACACTAGTTAAATGGATCGCGATATTCCATTTCCCTGGGAAACCACAATTTTCTGAACGGCTTCGCTTAAAATGTAATTTACACTCCATCAACAACAAGTCAGGAAAAAAACAACTCAACCAAAAACATTCTTTGACATATACAGCTTGTCCTCAAGTTACATCCATAACTCAGTTCTTAAATAAGAACTTGGGACAGCATAAACAAGAGCATCGGTTTTGACCATTTAGATCAGTGATTACTGAGAGTCTCAGCCATCCAGGTCATGTTTTTTTCTGTTGTTTTTTTTTCTTTGAAGATGTTTTGCTTCTCATCCAAGAAGCTTCTTCAGCTCTGACTGGATGGTAGGGAATGGAAGGATTGTTATTTCATGAAGTATAAAGTATGAAGGAGCATTAAATCCTTCCCTTCCCCACCGTCTAGTCATAGGTGAAGAAGCTTTGTGGATGAGAAGGGAAATGTCTTCAAGGAAAAACCAGAAAATCCAGTTGCCTCTTGAAAAAAACACCTTTGGGACATTTAGATTAGTGTTTCACCCGCTGAGAATTCTGGGGCTTGAAATCCATACCAAAATTTTGGAAGTCTGACCATCTTAAAACATGCTAGCTGGGGAATTCTGGGAGTTGAATTCCACCCATCTTAAATAATTCTGACTGGGGAATTATGGGAGCTGAATTCCACCCATCTTAAAGAATTCTGGGGAATTCTGGGAGTTTAATCCACCCATCTTAAAGCATGCTGGCTGGGGAATTCTGGGAGTTGAATTCTACCCATCTTAAAGCACGCTGGCTGGTGAATTCTGGGAGTTAATCCACCTATCTTAAAGCACGCTAGCTGAGGAATTCTGGGAGTTGAATTCCACCCATTTTAAAGCATGCTAGCTGGGAATTCTGGGAGTTGAATTCCACCCATTTTAAAGCATGCTAGCTGGGAATTCTGGGAGTTGAATTCCACCCATCTTAAAGCATGCTAGCTGGGGAATTCTGGGAGTTGAATTCCACCCATCTTAAAGTACACTGGCTGGTGAATTTTGGGAATTTAATCCACCCATCTTAAAGCACGCTAGCTGAGGAATTCTGGGAGCTGAATTCCACCCATCTTAAAGCATGCTAGCTGGGGAATTCTGGGAGTTGAATTCCATCCATCTTAAAGTACACTGGCTGGTGAATTTTGGGAATTTAATCCACCCATCTTAAAGCACGCTAGCTGAGGAATTCTGGGAGCTGAATTCCACCCATCTTAAAGCATGCTAGCTGGGGAATTCTGGGAGTTGAATTCCACCCATCTTAAAGCATGCTAGCTGGGGAATTCTGGGAGTTGAATTCCACCCATCTTGAAGTACACTG